ACTCTTTCCAAAACCTAGGCAATAAGTAAGATTATGAGATAATGTGCACAGCAGATGATACCGAGCAAAAATCTGTTTCTAAGTCTTCTTCCTAACTCATTCGTTTTGCCTTCTTGCTCATCTATTAGTATTTATATAGTTCAATTTACACTTAATATATGCTATCACTTGTATTATCACAGGAAGTACCATTATCCCCTCTTGGTAGATACCATATAAACAAAATTAAAAGACTATGCTCTTTGGATGAGAAATAAGACAAAATACAACACATGGATATAGATGGATGGAAGAGCACAAAAAAACAATGAGATAAAACTGACCAGAATGATAAGCAATAATCTAAATATATATAAATCGGGGTGGGCAAAATGCAGCCTGTGGACTGCATCCAGGCCGCCAGGCGATTTCATCCAGCCTGTGAGCAGGTACCCACCAATTAAGTGTATTCTGTCCAGCACACGGCTGCCCCTGCTGTGTCTGCATGGGGTCCAAGCCCCAACCACTTCCACTGAGGCAGTGCACTTCGCTCCTGGCCCCGGCCCCAGCCCAGGCCAGCACACAGCTTTCACGCATGGCTGCTTCCAGGGGAACTGCTTGGCTCACCTGGCATCCAGAGGCTCCTCCTCATGTCTCTGCTGCAGCACTCTGGGCAGCAGGTACGGAAGTGCCGGCGAGCAGGAATAAGCTGCAGCTGGGTGGGAGCATGGATCCCGTGGTCTGCGCCCAGTGGGGCAGCGGGAGCATGGAATCCAGGTCAGCCTGGCTCCATCGCACGGGGCTCCCCAAGGCTCATGTGCCGCTCCTGGGAATCATGCGCCACCAGGGGGAAGCCCCATGTGATGGAGCTGGCGGCCTTCACTGCTGCCCTGCTACCACATGCAGCTCCTGGGACTCTACTGGAAGCGATGGTGAACCCTGCATGATGGAGGCAGGCCGGGTTGGTCCTGCTCCCTGTCAGAGTGCTGAGAACTGCACGTGGCAACAAGGAACAGGGCCAGGCCGCTGGCTTCATTATGTGGGTCCTCCCTCCCGCCATAACTCTGACTGGGTCCCAGGAGCTAAACGTGAGCTGTGGGGAGCCCCATGCAATGGAGGCAGGCCAGTCTGGAGCAGCTTGCCACCATGTGCAGCATCCAGAAGTGACTGGAGCCATGCACCACCAGGGGGCTCTGCCTACACAGACCACGAGTGCCCTGAGGGCCTGCTGCTGCCAACCGCAGCAGGGGCTGTGCGCCACGGGGGCTCACACCCTCCCCCCAACATAACCACACCCCCACCCACCTAACACACACCCCACCACACACAATATACAAGAGTAAGACTATCGTGCATTTAGCATGCACTATTTGTGCATTTAGCCTGCACACAGATACAACCCGTGGAAAACTGTATTTTCGGAAAATAGTCTGTGTATAGGCCGCACCCATGTATTCTCCGCACCTGATAGTGTCAGTAC